CCCCCCCCAAACTCACCTTTCTTTTTCCTCTCTCTGCTTCTTGATCTCGGGAAAAACTTTCTCATAAAACTCTCTCATCTTGGCCTCTTTTCCTCTGAAGCAGAACACAAAGGGAAAAAAAAAATTTTACGAAATTTCTGTAAAAAATAAAACACATTCAGTACAAAAAAATATATATTCAGTTTTAACAAAAATTTATTCAGAAAAAAACAACAAAAAACACATTCAGTTAAAAAAAAAATATATACATTCAGAAAATAAAAATAACGTACACAGCTGCTATTTTACTTCAATGAAGCAAAAGTGACAGTGCTTAGCTATACAAATTATATCAATTTATTTTGACCCAAAAATGAATGTCAATTGTCAGTGTTCAGGGAAACATTAAAATGAATATCAATCTTCAGAGAAACATAAACATGAATGTCTATGCTCAGAGAAACTTTAGAAACATAAACATGAATGTCAATTGTCAATCTTCAGAGAAACATAAACATGAATGTCAATTGTCAATCTTCAGAGAAACATAAACATGATTGTCAATGGTCAATGTTCAGGGAAACATAAACATGAGTGTCAATCTTTAGAGAAATATAAACATGAATGTCAATTGTCAATCTTCAGAGAAACATAAACATGAGTGTCAATGGTCAATGTTCAAGGAAACAAACATGAGTGTCAATCTTTAGAGAAACAAAAACATGAATGTTAATCTTCAGAAAAACATGAATGTCAATGTTGAGAGAAACAGAAAAATGAACAATGATATTTAGAGGAACATGAGCAACAAGAACTCTGTTTTTACTTCTCCACCTTCTTTCATTCCTTCTTCTCCTTCTTTCATTCCTTCTTCTCCTTCTTCGCTTACTGTGATCACCGAGCCTCAAAACGACTCTTATTGCTCTCAACTAAACTTCCAACAACACACACAAGAGTTCACTCACTTCCAACAACACAACACACACAAGAGTTCACTCACGTCCAACAACACAACACTCTTGCTCACGTCCTACAACACAACACACACAAGAGTTTACTCACTTCCAACAACACAACACACACAAGAGTTCACTCACGTCCAACAACACAACACTCTTGCTCACGTCCTACAACACAACACACACAAGAGTTCACTCACTTCCAACAACACAACACACACAAGAGTTCACTCACGTCCAA